GCGTTAATAACTGAGTAGGGCCAAAAATAATAGTAATAAAATAAACTGTACTTAATTCTCCTCGATTCTCCTCGAAAATTAAACAATAAATAAAACAACGCAGAGAATAAAGCTTCTAACAGACATAACCGCTTATTCCAATGTGATAAAAATAAGACTCTAGATGGGCTTACAAAATAATAGGTAACAGCGGGAGGATTCCAATGAAATAAACGCAATAGCAATACTCGAGCGCGACCTGTCAAGAGAGAAAAGTTGGTTTATCGCCTCTAAACGCAATCGCAACATTCAAAGAAGTCGCCCTGGTCGGAAAGTCAGAAACGATCTCGTCTTGTCAAGTGAAGCTCCAAAACGAAGAGCTCAAGAACTATACAACAAGCACAGAGGAAGAACGATAGCTAATACTGACCGAAATCACTGGCGAAAAAACTTGTTCGATAAGTGAGGCATTGTACATCAGCCATGGGACAACGCCAGCTATACCAAAGAATACAAACCCTGCATTCAGTGGATGAATACCGTCGCGGCTGCCGGCGAATTAGTAGAATAGTGTTAAGGATCAACACAAAACGATTAGCTGCAAAAGATCTAAGCAACTGTAAACTACCTACTTAACTCTTAAAAAAGTCTGTAGCATAAGATTCGAAACTTTAGTAGTTACGTGCCATACGACAGACTAATTTTTTGCTTGTATGCAATTAAACCATGTTTGTGCTGAAAATATACAGATTATATTGCATAAGCATTTAATTGACCACGTTGTTCAGTTATTTTATTGTCATATTTTAGAACTATCTAGCAAATCTGACAGTCATGAATGCAGTCCATTCAGAACTATTCATGGACCAAAAATGTGCTTTGACTTTTAACGATAATAGAAACTCCACAAGCGCAAATTCAGAGAAACGCGTAAGTGCGAGTAGGAAGCAGATATCTAAAACCGTGGATCATTTTATCACTGAAAGTCCTTCCAAGAAATCAAAGAAGTGACCACGGAGGTACAAAATTTGCCCCTAAGTTATACGAAAAGAACAGAATTTCAAGAACAAATTGTGTCGTAAGGCGAGGCTGAGCGAATATCTTCAATTATTGTCCTTCCTTCCAATACAGCACATTAGAGGAGATGTACAAAAGTACGAGCGTTTAATGACTTACCTTATTATTGTATTCGATAGCTATGATATCACCCTTCGTTAGGCAAGCAAAACTGCGTAGTTTAAGCTCGAGACTAAAATATGATCCATCAAAAGAAGCAGATCGAAAACTATGATGATGCTTTACACTGCACGAGGGTTTGTAATGTCCAAAAATTCCATGCTCTGCGGTTTGAACTTGACGTATGTGGCTACCGGTAGATTCGAATATTCGACTTTGATCAGTTCACCTTCTGACAAGAGCAGATTTCGCATCATCTACAAAAACAGCACCATGCTGCAAAAAGTGACAACGTGTCAGCGATGAATGCACAGGCACTTACCCAATATGGTATGTAGCACTTTCCCTCCTCTTGATGAAACTCCAGCACGCCGCTGTGCGTGAACCGTCTTCTCTCTTTATCACAATTGGTTAGTTTGAACATCATAGGATACTCGATATGAAGTCGAGCTTAAACGAAATACGATACTTCACTGCCCCAAGAAAACATGCACGAGACGTACTTAACCAATCCAAAGCACTGTGTGGCAACAAAACTGAAAATATAAAGTGAGTCAGTCGGTTCGAGAGAAAAAAATAAGGCATATTCAGGATTAACTTTTTCCCCCGTTCTCCATTTCTCGGGTCTTCTCAGTCGACGCCAGTTCCGGGCACATTGCAATTGAATAGCAACGGTACAGCGCCTCATACGGCCGCAACTCCTGATGAGGAAACAGTGATCCAAGTCCAAACTGAAACAAAACAAGAATCTGATAATACATTATGCAACGAATGCCTCAACAAAGAATCAAGCGCAAACAGTTTACAGCAGAGGACTGAAACTTCAGCTGACATCAAAATAACAAGATAAAGAAGAAGTTCCGCAGACTAAGCAGAAGCATTTCCGTACGTCAGCTTTCATGAACAGTGACGTGAATATCACTGAAAAAACTACAACTCAAGGATTATCGATCTTCTTCATTATGCAACTAGTAGCACACGATGATCAACTGACTCGTAAGACATAACGGCAACGAAGCCGTCTTTCCATAATCGGTCACATTCCTGATCCAGTTTCCACGGCGTTTACGGTCACATAAAAACACTCAGTACCGATATCCTCGCAAAAGCTTTCCCGCAGATTTCCAATCAAGAAGGGAGAGTGGGTATCAGTCTTTGCTTCGCGTCTTTTAACAGACCGCCTCAGAGACAGTGGAGCACTAATATCCATTTCTGTGCCATCAGTCATGAATTCTTTATTTTAAACGCAAAGTCGACAGACTTTCAAAGCATGGTGCATATTCCCCTGTTTCCTTTCCACATAAAGGGACTGATTTATCAACATTGGAAGAAAAGCATGCGGCTCTACAGGGGCTCGATCTCGGGACCTCTCAATTCTGAGTTCAGTGGTTTATCGACTACTGAGAAACACCTTCTAACGAAATTTGCTGCTACTCTATAATGATCCTGATACAACATTTATTTCTGACACAAAATTTCTACTTCAGTTTATGTTATTATACAAAACTCTTTGACGATTCTGCTAAAACGGTAAATTTAAAGTTTGGTTAATTCCAACATGTACAGCTACGTACTTGGCAAAGA